ACGGGAATCGCTGACCACACGGACGGATACAGCCGGTCATTCGTTCCCTGGACGAACGCATTTACTCCTGGCTGGTACGTTCCACCCTACGCTGGGTGTTGTTGAACCTTCCATCCCCGCCCCTCGTCTTGTAATTTTTTTTGTCGCACCCACATGACGACGGACGGTCTTTGGAAAAAATAGAGAGGCACACAGCAGGGACAAATCTCGACGGGAAACATTCGCCACAGGAAACACCGACACAAGCTCACAACCACACCCCCCCTCTCATGAAAAGAGGTGTTTTCTACATTTTTTTTACTTGCGTCTTCACCATACCGGCAGACGGACAGTCACTCATCACCTGACAGATATACTGTGACAGTGTCATCAGTCAACGGTGCCACCACCGTGGTTGACGCTGCGGGTAAAAAAAGAGAAAAATTTCGTTGGCTCATTTGAAAGAGAAAATGGCACGGGCAACCACGGCTGCTGCTGTATTGTCATCACATGCTACCAGCTATCGCTGGTAGCATGTGGAGCAAGTAGACCAGGCCGAGCCCCTCGCAGGCAGGAACAACGGGTGGCGGTACATGGGGCCTAGAGGGGTCACCTATAGGCGCCAGGCCGTCTTCGGGACGGGATTTAGGATTCGTATCTCCTTCCCTTCCTCGCCTGGGCCGGGACACAGACAGGTGGTTCAACTCGCACCCCCTCGGAGGATATCCCAACCTGTACAATTTTCAAACTTGGGCGAGGACGGTGCTGCAGAGAGGCATGGTCCACCCGCGTGACGCCGAGGCTTGGCGCACAGCGTTTGTAGATGTAGAAGGTGGTGGCCTTGGACAGCTGGTTGTGTCAGCGGCCGACGATACCTGGCGAGTAATCCTCTGCTGGGCGTCAGCTGGCAAGAGGATCGACGTCGACACCCAGGGCATCCCGATCTCACTTGTGAACCTCCAGGTTCGATCTGGTGTCGACTTACAGAGCCGTTTTTTCAGACAGCTCAACATAGCGGCCTTCGGGCACAGAGTTGTGAGATATGCCCCCATCAGCGCGTTCGGCAAAAAATGGCAAGAACAGCTCCCAGGAGCCTGCCTCGCTGTCCTCGTCGCCGACGCTTGGCGTGACAGTCAAGTCGACCTGCTAAAAGCACGGGAGAGGAGAAGGTTTGGATTCCGCGATGTAGATCCCACGGGTGCGTTTATGATCTCATTTCGTGGTGGTCGACCAAAAAAGGGCGCGCCTGTACAAAACAAGAACGATCTTGACGGTGGGAACTACTTCCGCAACCTCTATTCGATTCTACTGGAGCGAGACATCGGGGAAGTAGAGTTCGGCAAATGGGTTTCGGGCGACACAGAACCACCCGCCTTGACATTACTCCACCTCGAAAAGTGGCTCCATATGACCAAGGCCAACGTGGTGGTGTGGTCACATCGGGGCACTGGTGCCAATATTCTTGGACCACCCGACGGGAAAACGAACCTCCGACCGCCCAAAGTACACGTCGGGGTGCGTGAGGGACACGTGTACCGGCTTGTGCTCGAGGGGCCTTGGAGAGACAGGTTTGGATCGTCTCTGGACGTGGCAATCGAACACCGCGTGCGAACGTACCGTAAGTTCCGCCGAATGTCTGAGATGACCGAGGAAGAAGAGGAACCAGGTACGACTGGTTGTGGTGCCAAGACCTTCTCGTGTGTCGTGACACTGTGAGTGATATCATGGCCATCAAACAAACAGGGAGGGACCACAGCCGACAACCAGTGGAAAAAAAGCGTAAGCATGGGTGGAAGGTATCAGAATGCAAGACGTGGTACGCGCCTCCAGGAACGGCCCTCGACGAACTCATGCTCCACCTACACCTTGNAAAACAGATAGCAAAGTTCACTCCTAACTACCATGACATTCATAACCAGGGCTTTCGGTGTCCCATGTCCCTGTGTGAAGACGAGTCCCGACTCCCTCCAAAATCGGTTTCACTGTTGTCTGTCGTGGCTTTCGTGCCAAATTTCACTCCTACTATACATACTTGCTGATCGATCGTGATATTCAAAAATATTTGGATTCCAGCGTTTCTCTCTCGAAAATCCCGGTGTAAAGCCGAGTCGCACTCCACACACATGTCGCCCTCGTTGAATCTCACCAGATGCCTAAACACACGCCCGCGAGGCATCGTTGAAACTGATAGATCGGTTTAGGGTTAGGGTTAGGGTTAGGGTTTGGGTTAGGGTTATTCACTTATTGAATAATATACTCCTTACATATTTCGGGTTGAACTGTTGTAACCTAGCTACGTGTCAAGTTTCACTCAGAGAGAGAGAGAAAAAGGTGCCCGCAGTTTTCTGATTGGCCAGTTTTTTTGAAAGGAAATCTCCTGTGTGCAGAAAATTCCATGGTCGACCGATGACGTCAGCCACGGTCATGACGTCACCTCTTGAAAAAATAAAAAAAATCATATTCGCCGTGGACGACTGATTAGACTGATGATGACGCCAGACTTTAACGGGAATCGCTGACCACACGGACGGATAGAGCCGGTCATTCGTTCCCTGGACGAACGCATTAACTCCTGGCTGGTACGTTCCACCCTACGCTGGGTGGTGTTGAACACACCATCCCCGCCCCTCTTGTAATTTTTTTTTGTCGCACCCACACGACGACGGACGGTCTTTGGAAAAAAAAAGAGAGGCACACAGCAGGGACAAATCTCGACGGGAAACATTCGCCACAGGAAACACCGACACAAGCTCACAACCACACCCCCCCTCACATGAAAAGATGTATTTTCTACATTTATTTTACTTGCGTCTTCACCATACAGGCACACAGACAGTCACTCATCACCTGACAGATATACTGTCATCAGTCAACGGTGCCACCACCGTGGTTGACGCTTCGGGTAAAAGAAGCGAAAAATTTCGTTGGCTCATTTGAAAGAGAAAATGGCACGGGCAACCACGGCTGCTGCTGTATTGTCATCACATGCTACCAGCTATCGCTGGTAGCATGTGGAGCAAGTAGACCAGGCCGAGCCCCTCGCAGGCAGGAGCAACGGGTGGCGGTACATGGGGCCTAGAGGGGTCACCTATAGGCGCCAGGCCGTCTTCGGGACGGGNGCAGGAGGATCGACGTCGACACCCAGGGCATCCCGATCTCACTTGTGAAACTCCAGGTTCGATCTGGTGTCGACTCACAGAGTCGTTTTTTCAGACAGCTTAACATAGCGACCTTCGGGCACAGAGTTGTGAGATATGCCCCCATC